CCCCCGCCGCGGCCTCGGCCTCTGCCGCCCTCTCCCGCCACCGCCGCCGCCGCCCCCGCCCCTGCCCCTTCCCGGCCCCGGGAGCGGCTGCAGAGCCGCCGCCCAGACCGTGTCCCGCAGGAGGCGGGGATCCGCACGGTAAGATGGCCGCGGCGGGTCGAGGCAGCCGTGCCGAGTTGCTCCGCGGGCCTCGGGAGTGGGGATCAGGTCAGGGCGCGGAGGTCAGAGGTCACGGGCTACGCAGCCGTGGCCTCAGGGGCGCGAGCCGGGGTCCGGTGCCCGTCCTGCCCTGCGTGCTCGGCCCCGGAGCGGGCGGTCTGCTGTGCAAGCGGGAGGCCGCGCTCGGAGTCGGGCAGCAGCGAGGGCCGACGGGCGAAGATGCGGCGGCTGCGTTGAGAGCCGTCCTAGGCTTGGGGTGTTCCTCCGTCCGCCCCCCCCCCTCTTCGTCTGCCCTCCCCCGTTCTCTGTTGCCGTCTGTGTCTGCTGGAGTCAGGGTCCCGGAGTCCGACCGAAGCGCACAGTCTTGCTCAGTACCCGCTTCGGGCTGCCGTGTACGATGGTGGAATCTGAGAGCTAGGCCCTTCGGGAGGTGCGGGGGGTCGCTTCCAGAGTGGTCTGTCTTTACCTGTATAGTCTGAATAAAAGTGAAAAAGTCGGGGTAAAACGGCTTTTCACCTGTGGCCATGGAGAGGCACTAGTCCTAGAAGGCCGAGTCTAGTGTGGATTCCCCCACCCCCGCCCGTCCTGGTACCTCCCAGCCAAGCGTCAGCTGCTGGTGCCTTCGGGCCGCCTGATGCCGAAGCGCGCTGGTGCGCCCCAGTTCCTAAGCCCCTTCACATTCCCTGCCCACACTACCTTTATTTGGGCTTTGGGGCATCTAAATAACTTTTCCCCTGTGCATGTGTGTGTGTGTTAACTTACTGAGTCCATTGTGGCTCCCGGGACCTGTAATCCAGAGGCTACTAATCTCTCCAGCTGCCCTTGCCCTCCGCACCCAGACTTGCCCTGCTCCTCCAACCTGTTCTACTCCCAGCCCTCCCGTCTTCCAGGGCCTGGCATTTGAAGCCTCCAGTCTCTACCCACACTGCTTCCCTTTTTCTTGTCCCTTCATACTCGGTCCAACAGCAGCTGCCACTGACTTGGAAGCCAAAGCTTGATCTGAGGTGGTTCTGAGCTTTTCTGCCGGGCTGCTCAAACCCTTCCCCTCCCAGCATGCATTCCATTCTGGAAATCGGAGCCATCCTTTATGTTATTTTTTTAATTGAAGAAAATTGGCTTGTACTTTATTGTGAGCAAAGTAGTATCCATAAGGTGTATGTCAGTGACACTGTGAAGACAGTCAGCTGTGACTGCCATCCTCCCTCCCACAGGTCACAATTCCTGAGTGTTAGATTCTATGTCTTTGCTTAAAATTACAAAATAATACTTAGTGTTAAAGCACATGCCATGTAGTTTGTTTTGTATTTACCTTTTCAAAACCCATGCACACTTGGACTTCTCTGTGAGTTCAAGGCCAACCTGGTCTACATAGTGAGTTCCAGGACAGCTGGGGCTACAGGGAGACCCTGCTTCAAAAAGACCAAAAAAAAAAAAAAAAGTTTTTTTAAACCTATTGTTAACAAACTCTTAGTAGAGTCTTCTAACGTCCTTTACACTGAGTTTCACAGAAGAAATGATCCATTCTTGTAGCCTGCTCTTCATTCTCTAGAGAGACTGGTAAAGCAGACTGGATTTGGACAGTGTCATCTTTGTGCAGGCTGCAGAGTTCAAGATCCAAAACCTGCACACCCAAGGGTTCAGATGTGGTGTCTGTACTTCGAAGTTCTTTGTTCAGGCTCTTGTTGAATGAAAGTTGGAGGAGAGTTGACTTCCACATTTTTGCCATCTTGAGTGTGCCAGGGAACAGCATATTCCTAGGTGCATGTTAGAACTTTCTAGGATGCAGATTAAGATTAGCAGGAGTAGAATTGCTGGATTGCAAGGGGGCAGGCTGCATGTGCAGCTTTCCAAGGAATGTTCAGTCATTTTCACCATATCTATGTTCTAACAAAGGAGTAAAAAATAATTGAAAACTCCAAGCTTGTTGACATTTATCTTACTTTTGGCAGTAGGATTGGAGTCTCCTGTTTATTTTTTTTTATATTTTATTTTTATTTTATGTGTATGAGTATTACTTGCATGTAGGTAGGTACACCGTGTTGTGCGGAGGTCAGAAGCGGGCATTTGATCCCCTAGAACTGGAGTTACTGACCATTTGGGTTCTGGGAATCAAACCTGGGTCCTCTGCAAGAGCAGTCTGGTCTTAACTGCTGAGCCATCTCTTCGAAGCCCCTAGAGTCCCCTTTCACATGCATCATAGCATGAAACTCTCCAGTGGTTGCCCTTGGCACCTACCTTTAAACCTAGCCACCTCCCTCAAGGTATGACAGTTTGTCTGACATAATCAGACCTCTTGGCTTCTTTACTCTGAGACCTTTGACTCTGTTGTATTAACCTTCCTTCCCTGGCCTTGTTCTTCTCTGTGCGTGTATTTGGGTCTGGGGCTTTTTGGGCTTGCAATTTTCAAAATGGGAAGTTTTCCCCAACTCTTCCACCACTTATACATTGCTATGTTTATTTTCTGAAGTGATCACACTAGGCATAGGATTCTTCCCCAATAATTCTGTCTTTTTCCTGTAGAGATAAATCAAAATGAGCTATACAGAAAAACCAGATGAAATAACCAAAGATGAATGGATGGAAAAGCTGAATAACTTACATGTTCAACGAGCAGACATGAACCGCCTCATCATGAACTACCTGGTCACAGGTAAAGGATGGCTCTATGCTTGCCACCATCTAAACTCAGTTGTTCATTTTTGGGCAAGTAGCCTTTGCTCTTGAAGCACAATAATAAAGTTATATTGTGTTCAGACATCATAAAAATGCAGTGATAACTTGACATTTGTTAAGTTAAATTGTGATGTTAAAGATGGCTGTTTCTGGCCAGGAGCGGTGGCTCACACCTGTAATCCGAGCACTAGGGGAGCTGGGGCAGGGTTGTGAGTTCAGGGCAGCCTAGGCTACAGGGTCTCAAACCTGCCACCCCTAAGAAAAAGCCTTTCCTGGAAATGAAATAATTACTCCCAGCCTCTTAAGACCTAAAACAGCATGCTATTTTTGGCTTTTGATGATTTTATAGTTATGTCATTAAGATTATTAAGATTGTTTTGACTTAGGAGGCTGAGGCAGGAGGACTGTGAGTTCTAGGCCACCCTGGACTACACAGTGAGATCCTGTCTCAATAGTAAAAAGACTGTTGTGAAGTAGATTTAAGGTCTTAAATAATTGATGTCTTCTGGCCAGTTTGATAAAATACACTGGCTTGTTTCTTGGTGTGTCCAACTCAGTGCACAGAAGAAAACAGCACTTGGATGCTCCTTCTGTTGGGAGGAAGAAGGTCACTGTTATCTATGATTAGAAAATCAACTATCCCTCTGCTCAGTTTTCTAAAAGCATAAAATGAATGAAGAGTCTTCCTTCTATAGTTCTCCAGATAATTCTGCTAAGTTTTTTTAGAAAGCTAATGAGGACATCTTGGCCTAGAGTTTCAGCAAGTTCTATAGGTGAAGCTGGCATTGAGTCACAGCAGGCCTATGGAGACGCAGCCAGAATGTTTGCCTCACCTGGAGCCAGCTCTGCTGCTCTGGCATCCTGACCTGTAATCCCAGCTTGGAGCCGCATAACCACTCAGTGAGCTAGTAGTCAGTGTGACCTGGCTGACAGACCGGGACTTTTTGGACGGGCTGAAAAGGAGTGATGGCATTAACTGTTAATCACAGGTAGTAAAACCAAATCCCTGAGAAAGTGTGGTTCATATCGACAGTCGTTTAATGGAGGTGGTTAGGCTCTAGAGGTGCAAAGCCTGCAGTAATTCCTGGCTACCTTTGTTAAGAGTGGAATGCTTTTCTTTTCAGAGGGCTTTAAGGAAGCAGCAGAGAAGTTTCGAATGGAGTCTGGGATTGAACCAAGCGTGGACCTGGAAACACTAGATGAGCGAATCAAGATTCGGGAGATGATTCTAAAGGGTCAGATCCAGGAGGCCATTGCCCTGATCAACAGCCTCCACCCAGAGCTCTTGGACACAAATCGGTATCTGTACTTTCATCTGCAGGTGAGTTTCAGCAGTGATAGGGATGCTTGGTAAGTTAAACTTTGCAGTGGCTTAGAAGTTGACTAATTTGCGTTAATAGAGCATTGCTTTAGTATATGCGGGGACTGGCTTTGAGGTAGCTGCTATTGAATATGTTGCTAAAACTGCTTTTTTGCTTTATTGTATGTATGATATATATCATACATATTGTGTGAGTGTGGCCATGTGCCTGTTATCATGTGTGTGGCTGTAAGAAGACAGCCCCTAGGAATCAGTTCTCTCTTTCCACCTTAACACAGGTTCTGGGGATCAAACTCATGTTGCAATGCTAGTGCAGCAAGTACTTGTACCTGCTAAGCCATCTCTCCAGCCCCCTGCTTGGCTTTTAAAATGGAAATGTAATTACTTGGCGATGCTAGAAAAGTCTGTCCTTTGAGGTGTCTTTTTCTTTTTGTAGGGCTGAGGACGGAACCCAGGGCTTTGCATGCATGCTAAGCAAGCTCTACAACTGAGCTACACCTTCAGCCCCATGAGATGTAGTTTTGACTAGAACCAAGTGTTGAATGTTGTTCATGGGGTATGTGCTGGACGAGTGTGACTGTCTGCTGTTGACTGCCACCCAGCACTGGTGTGTCTCTCCTGGCTGTCTGCTGGACAAGCTTGTCTGTTTTTGCTATTGACCATGCTGGGTGTCACTCACCTGGGTGTATAATGGCTAAATTTGTCTTGTCTTTGTTATTGACCAGCAACAGCACTTGATTGAGCTGATCCGCCAGCGTGAGACCGAGGCAGCGTTGGAGTTTGCCCAGACGCAGTTGGCAGAGCAGGGTGAGGAGAGCAGAGAATGCCTCACGGAGATGGAACGCACACTGGCCTTACTGGCCTTTGATAGCCCGGAGGAGTCACCTTTTGGAGACCTCCTCCACATGATGCAGAGGCAAAAGGTAGGGTCAATAAAGGAAGAGCCCTGTTCATGGACACTTGGGGGCTTGCAGGAAGATAGTACATGTGCTTCACTTGGGGGGGGGG